TGAGAAGCACTATCATTCTTGGGCAATGGGGACCCCAGGAGTGATTATTCACCTAAGTATTCTCTGGAAGGGTGGTTATCTTCTCATTACAATTACTACTGCCACTAGTTGGACAGCTACTACTGGTTAAGTATATTCATATGTTGCTTCTATGGCATCATTTTTATTCTATGTAAGACTTTTGATAATGTTTAGAATTATTCTCAAATGCTCAGCATATTCAAATATGCAATTAACTAACAAGTCTAATTTGTGAAATTAGTCTGCCATTCTAAAGTGTGAGAGCCAGCATTATATTTCTAGTGCAGAGACCATTAATTTCCATTCCTTTAAAAAATTCCTTCTTGATGATCGTTTGCTAATTTTATCAGGGTACTATTTTCTGAAGAGATTACAATGAACATTATTTTACTGGTCATGGCAAGCCTTCAATTACTGGGCTTTAATGCTGTGGGTATTATTATCCTGTTATCAAGTCATCTTTCCCCCTTTAATTTGCTTCTACAAGCTATTTATTTATTGCAAGGTACAATAAGCACCTATAAAAAAAATATTCTTGCAATACTAGTAACCAGGATCTTAAAATGCATAACCTTTAAAGGCCTATAATTATGGCTCAGCTGCATTTTTGTGGCAACACATTTTTCCAGTGAAAGGTGATATTTTGGAGAGCTCAAAGGTTTTTTTTTCCTGAAAAAAGATGAACTTCCTGGGGGTGGGGCCCCTAATTCACTAAAAAAATTGGGGTTGCTCCCCTCTCTTGGCAAAGAATAGAGGAAATCATGCTCAGCTCCATATATTGATGAGGGTCAATTCTTCGAAGGTGGCTGCAGCTACCAACTCCAAGGAAAGCAATCCTCAGCATGATATGTGAAGCCTGAGGAAGAGAATTGTGTGGCACGTAACACTGCGTAAGGCAAATATTTTCTCCACTGTTTGATTGCCCCCCACAAAGATTGGCAACATGAAGTAGGGATCTTTTCAGGTGGAATGAAATGTTTTGCAAAAAAGGGGGGAAATGATCCATTTCAGCTCTGCCTTACTTACTCTACATATTTTTGATAGAGTGTACATAGCCAACCAGTGAGAGATTTTACTCATGAAATTAAAAGACGCCTGCTTCTTGGGAGAAAAGCGATGGCAAACCTAGACAGCATCTTAAAAAGCAGAGACATCACCTTACTGACAAAGGTCCGTATAGTTAAAGCTATGGTTTTCCCAGTAGTGATGTATGGAAATGAGAGCTGGACCATAAAGAAGGCTGATCACCGAAGAATTGATGCTTTTGAATTATTGTGCTGGAGGAGACTCTTGAGAGTCCCATGGAGTGCAAGAAGATCAAACCTATCCATTCTTAATGAAATAATAATAATAATAATAATAATAATAATAATAATAATAATATTTTTTATATCCCACCCTCCCCAGCCGAAGCCGGGCTCAGGGTGGCTAACAACAATTAAAAAATACAACATTCTAAAATCATTTCATTATAAAATTAATTCAAATCAAATTGATGGCAACCATTGGGCTAGAGTTCTGTGAAGATTGCCAAAGGAGGGAGTCAGGCTGTGCCCTGGCCAAAGGCTTGGTGGAACAGCTCTGTCTTGCAGGCCCTGTGGAAAGATGTCAAGTCCCACAGGACCCTAGTCTCTTGTGGCAAAGCGTTCCACCAGATCAGAGCCAAAGCCCTGAGTGCTCACTGGAAGGACAGATCCTGAAGCTGAGGCTCCAGTACTTTGACCACCTCATGAGAAGAGAAGACTCCCTGGAAAAGGCCCTGATGTTGGGAAGGATTGAGGGCACAAGGAGAAGGGACGGCAGAGGACAAGATGTTTGGACAGTGCTCTCAAAGCTACGAACATGAGTTTGACCAAACTGTGAGAGGCAGGGGAAGACAGGAGTGCCTGGTGTGCTTTGGTCCATGGGGTAATGAAGAGTCGGACATGACTAAATGACTAAACAGCAGTAGCAGCAGCAACAACAACAACACATAGCCAACATTTCCCACCGCCTCTTCTGTTTCCAGAGGGTGATGCTTGTGGAGTGCTTATTGGCCCTGTGGAGCCTTCAATGTAGGGTTCCTTAAGGTTCAGTTTCATCCCCTATTCTGTTTAACATCTACATGAAACTGCTGAGTGGGGTTATCCAGAGTTTTGGAGTACATTGTCATCAATATATCGCTGACACACAGCTCTGCTTCTCCTTTACACTCGCAGGGGTGACAGTGGATGTTCTGGACCGTTGACTTGCCTCCGTAATGAGTTGGATGAGAGCCAACAAACTGAAGCTCAATCCAGATAAGGCTGAAGCACTGTGTGAATGGTTCCCTAGACAGAATGGATGGGAGGTTTGCTCTTGATGGGGGTTACACTCCTTCTAAAGGAGCGGATAGGTAGCTTTGGATCCTTTTGAGACTCAAGTGGCCACAGTGGTGCATAGTGCCTTCCATCAGCTTAAGCCGGTGACACAGCTGCACCCCTGTTTGGACAGAGATAGACTAACTTCTGTCGTCTGTGCTCTGCTAACCTCTAGGTAAGATTACTACAACGTGTTATATGTATTGCTGCCTCAGAAGGTGGTTCCAAAACTTCAGCTGGTGTAGAATTTGGTGGCCAGGCTTTTCACTGGGGAGAGATGGTTTGAGCATATTACACCGATCCTGGCCCACTGCACTGGCTGACACTTAGTTTCTGGGGCCAATTCAAAGTGCTGGTTTTGACCTATAAAGCCTTAAACAGCTCAGGACTATCATATCTGAAGGACCACTTCTCCCCATTTGAATCTACCCAGACCCTGCAATCATCATCTGAGGCCCTTCTTCGTGCACCTCCCTCCTAGAGAGTTCTGTAGGAGAATGGGCTTTTTTCTGTGATGGCTCCCCATTTGTGAAATGCTCTTCCCAGAGAAGGAACTTCTTTATAATCAGGCCTTGAGCTGCTCAACATTCTATGTCCTTTTAAATGTGTTTGTGGGAGGGGGGTTATTGGTTTATTTTTGTTTTATTGTGTACTTTGCATTGTCCTTTTGTATTTTAAGGTTGTGAACCGCCCTGTGATCTTTGGATGAAGGGTGGTTTGCAAATTTCATTAATTAATATACAGATATAGATATAGATATATAAACACACACACACAGGATGCTACAGGATGATACAGGGGACATATATTTGGTTAACACCCCTCCCCCCCAAAAAATACCTAGTTAGAAGTTACACTAAAGATGAACTGGAGCTTTGGGAGGTTGTACATATAGCTCTATAGTCATAAATATTCAGTAATATATGTATGCACAGACATTAAGGAACACTGAATACATATATGATAGTCCTGAACTGTTTAAGGCTTTATAGGTCAAAACCAGCACTTTGAATTGGGCCCATGCAACTCAATACACTACTAGATGCTCTTAAGACCAATTCCCATGATCTAATATACATGTCACAAATATGGATTCCATTGATATAAAGCCCTAAATGGTTTGTGACCCAATCACCTAAAAGAGTGACTTCCCCTGTATCAACCATGTTAGATTCTGTGATTTGTAGGTGGGGCCTCACTGGTGATGGTGATGCCACCAAGGGCTGCCTTGATGACAGGGCCTTTTCAGTGGTGATACTACTTTTGTGGAATGCCCTACTAGTAATATATGACTGCCTCCATCACTATTAACTTTCAGGAGGCATTTGAAAACATTCCTGTTTACACAGACATTTGGCAGCTGAAGAACACTGTTCCTGGCAACCCTGAGATTACTGGATGAAAGAACATCTTTAATTTTTACTGCTTTTAGAAGTTTTTTTTTGTAACCAAAATTGTTTTCAGATGTTTTTAGCTGTAACTGTTTATAGACTATTTTACTTGCTTTTACATATGTGGATGTGTTTCTGTGCTCCTTTGGGAGGGAGGGCAAAACATAAATGCAATGTATTAATAATAATAATAATTTAAAATAATATTTTATTTTATTATATATAAATAAAAGTTGAAAAAGAGTATCAGTGTCCATCCATGCAGCTATGTTCCTTTCATTTTTAGGCTGATTTCCCACATTTGCCTTCAGCCTGAACTAGAATGCTAGAACTGTGACATTATAATTACCTGTTTTCAAGCTTACCTTTCAAGCTGGGCTCAGTAGTTTCACTTAAAATAATAATAAAGCAGAGTTAGGGTTTTGTGGTTTTTTTAGGTGAGAGGAATAGGTTTTTTTTAAGAAGTTCAAAGTAAGCCAGAGGCATTTCCATCCTCTCTGGGTATGTTGTGAGCTGCTTGCTGTACTTCCAATAATCTGATGTTTTAACAAAAATCTAAAGGAGAATTCTGCCTAAAATCAAACTCTGAAGTTGGTTGTTCATTTGTGCCTAGTAGCAATTTTCATTGAGTTTTCTGGTGTTCAACCTCTGTGTGCCCTTCAACTTACAAGCATAACACAGGTGCAATGAAAACATATCCAAAGGCACGATACACAGGAGTTCAGTCTGGTAGGATCTTGATAAAGCTACAATTACATAGTTGGACATCTCTCTGCATATCCTTCTTTCATGCATAGTTTCTTTTTTAAAAAAATATTTAAAAATCAGCCCTCACAAGTCTGATTTTAAATATTTCTTTTTAATTATAAGTATATAGTATCAAGTTAGGGCTAGGCAAAATGAATGACTTACTTTAGCAGAACCTTGTGCAAATATGAGATATTACTTTGGAGTCAAAATTGTGTGGATTTGATCTGTCCATGCATTGCTAAATACATAAAATAAATTAATGTAATGAATACTTGAGTATTTAACCTGTGCCTTTTCTTTGGCCGTGGGTGGGTGGTGGGGGTGGGTTTAAAAGGTTGGTGTGAATAAAGGGGGAAAATTGCATAGTGGGGGTGAGAGATTGTGGTGGGAAAGGGCCATTTATATGAGCTTTTTTTAGTATACTGTAGTTCTGCTTCAAATGTTTTAGAAACACAAATGTCATGTGCTACCATAAACATTATCTATATATGGTATATACATCACTTCTCAGCCTTTGGGCTAAGATCAAGTGTAGTACATTATGGGGTGTTCACACATTACATTCAACAAGTGGACAATCTATGTACCTGTGCACACCATAGCTGAGCTGAAGATTCATATGGTTATTCACACACAGAGAATCACAGAGTTGGAAGGGACTTAGAGGATCATCTAGTCCAACCCCTTGCAAGGTAGGGATATGTAGCTGTCCCTTATGGGGTTCAAACTTGCAGCCTTGGTGTTATCAGCATCACGCTCTAACCAACTGAGCTATCCAGCAGGACTATTAAATGCCTGAATAAACAAAGAGTTAACATGTAGAAATTAGCAAGTGTGCACTCGTTCACACAAACACTTGTCCGTGTGTAGAAACACCTTGTACCTGTGTTCAGTGTAACACATGACTAAGCTTTCAGTAACATCTAAATTCAGTAACATCTATTTGTAGACAACTAAGTTCTATGTAGGATAGACCTATTTAAATAAATGAGCCTAAGCTAGTCATTGTCATTAATTTAATGGGTTTTCTAGGCAAATCATGAGTGGTGGTCTCCTCATGGAGAGGGGTGATTCTATTATTCCTGCTTTCCCTGCAGTTCACCCAAAAATCGTCTCCAGAGAGTTGGAGGACAATATGTGAAGTTTCACATGAGGCTGTATGGAGAAGGGGACTTCAGTAAAACAAACAAACAAACAAACAAACAAAAACTCTCATTTTCCCCCTTCTTGAGCAGCAGCTTCCACTGGAATACCCATTGCAAATACAGAAGGAAAATTTCCATTCTGGATCTAATCAATGGGAAATATGCTCCCAGGATCCCAGCATGTGCCCATGTACTTTTCTATACACTCCCCTCTCTTTCAAACATTATAGGAAAGTTTTGGTTCAGTGGAACTGCATGGATCCATATTTTCTGTAACGTGTGAAGGTGCCTGAATAATCCAAGCAAAGAGTTATGTATAGGTCACACTTACATCAGTCACTGACTGGTGATAGTCTGCCTGTGTAAAATGGCAAGCACAAATCAGACTCTACGGGAAGAGGTTTTGTTGCTATCGTTGCACCTTGTATTATTTTAACTACTGTTCAATGGAGAACATTCACAGGGTTAACCTTGGGTCACCAAGTGATATGGTACAAGTGATGTACATGCCCGAAAGCATTAAATTAACCATTAGGCATTCATTAACCTGCTTGATTTGACAGAATTTTTCATTAACTCTGAAAAATGTCATGTTTTCCATGTAAAATGTTTCGTATTCTGTCTTCCTAGTACTGTTTTAAAGGATGTTATTTGATTATGCTCCTTCCATATTTCTTAGTTACCAGATAATTATTTATTCTCTATCTCTCTATGCCTCCTAATTTTGTCTTCAATGTGTCATTTGTTTTAGTTCTTCCAGCATGTTAGACATTACCACTGAGCACTGCTTAGTTTGGAAAGGTTAATGGGTTGTAGCTACTATCAACCCTATTTTATGCTTTTCTGACAATGTATGTTACATGAACTGGCATTCTACAAATGACATCAGTCTCTACTCACTGATGACTCCCATTTATTTTTATAAAATGGAATTTTGAACTAAGCAGGGTTGGCACTAACCTTAATCATAAATGTTTTGCTGCGATCAAAGATGTTCTGCACTCTTCCTTTTAAAGTTTTCTTTTTAAAATGTTGTGCCATCCTCTAGCATTTTGCAACCTGATCCCTAAATTAGCAAGCTTCCTGGAATACCAATGAGAGGTTGTCATGTCAAGTCCTTCCCTTAGGTCTCTAGAAGCACACCAGCTGGGGAAGCTGCCTGTGGAGTGTCACAGAGCAGTGTGCTTCTATTTCCTTAAGTTAAAAGGAAGGACACCCATGCACCTTGGCGATCTCATAAAAATTATTAAGCCTCTCCCCTGGAGGTAAGAAAATGTACTGCTCCTTTCACAGAGTGAAGAATTTCATGAAATCAGTGGATGAGGTTTAGCACTCTTATTAACCAATTTTTAGCCTTATTCCAACCTTCCTACCCCACCCAACACTATCAGCACAAATCTTCCCCCATTTATTTCAATGATTGGAAATACTGTAGGTAAAAAACCCTCACCCTCACAATCATCATACAGGCTGATCCAACACATGTCAGCATGTGAAGCGGCAGCTAGGAGGGATTGTGTGAAACCATCCCACTGTGTGTAAAGTGTCCTTTCAATTTTTGTTACCATTTTTGCAAGTGTTACAGTGGCCAACAATTGAGCTGGCACATGTGGATACACCTTTTAAATCTTTACTGGCTTTCTGAGAGGATGCATATGACTTATTTATTTATTTATTTATTTATTTATTTATTTCCTAATAGAGTTTTCTTTTAATCATTATATATAATCATTATATAGCTTGGCAAAAATTAACAATAGCTGCATATCCTGAATGCAAGACAAATCATTACAATGCCAGATCACTGTATTTCCTAACCCACTCTTAGCTTCTTCTGAGCGCTTTCCCCCCTGGTACTTCCCTTTTTCATGAGCTTTTGATAGCAGTACAATTATTTTCTTCCATGACTGGTTTGCACTCTTCTGATTGCCTTTTAAAAAAAAAACTGGATTGCACTGCAGGGTAGATGCATGTTCTGCTTCACACTGACCTTTCAGCAGCATAATGGTCATTTTATCTGCTCTCTTGTGAATGGAAACTTCTTGTTCCTTTAAGGTTCGATAACCAGGGCTGCATTCACATGGCAGTCTGTTCTATTTTCATGACAGTTCCCTAACACTTAATTTCCACATTATATTTGAGCTTTCACACGATGCAGAAGCCACTAGAGAAACTCTATAGTGCAAGTTTAGCACTCATTTCTATATTATTTGCTTTTTTTTCCTGGAAGAAAATAACATGGAAATTAGCACTAAACCTTCATCCAGTTTAGGTCTGGAACTGACTTTTACGTCATGTGAATGCTCAACTAAAATGCAAAGCTTGACAGATAGGGAAAAGTCAAGAAAATGGAACAAACTGCCATGTGAATGCAGCCCAAAGGTGCTGGTCTTTGCTATGGTGACATTTTTTTTTAGATAGGGATCTATCTAAACCAGTGACCTTTTTGCCGAATGGGCAGCCGCCACTGCCTTGCCAAACACACTGGGCGATTTTCAAACATTGGCGGCCGATTGAGGTGGCCTGCTTGGGAATGCCCATGCTAATATAGTGAGATTTCAATTTAATTATGTTTTCCATATCCATTCTGCTGTAATTGTACATTTGGCTTGCTATTGATTTATTTGTTTACTGCATTTATATGCTTCAGCCTTGCACTCAAGGCAGTTTACAGTTTAAAATAATGAGCTACAGTTTAATAGACTCGGAACAAAATGAGAAAGGACGAGGGAGGGAAGAGAGAAATATGCATATTCAGATACGATGGCCACTGTATAAGACAGCTCTGGGAGGGGGAAAGCTAAAGGGTTGTTTGGTTCTATCCAGATCATGGTTAAAGCAGGAACAAAACACGTCTTCTTATACTAAGTCAGAACACTGGTGTACCTACTTCAATGCTGCCTACTCTGACTGACAGAAGTTTTCCAGTATTTTAGGCAGCAGTCTTTCCTAGACTTGGGACACAGGTGGCACTGTGCGTTAAACCACAGAGCCTAGGACTTGCCGATCAGAAGGTTGGCGGTTCGAATCCCTGTGACGGGGTGAGCTCCCGTTGTTTGGTCCCTGCTCCTGCCAACCTAGCAGTTCGAAAGCACGTCAAAGTGCAAGTAGATAAATAGGTACCACTCCTGTGGGAAGGTAAACGGCGTTTCCGTGTGCTGCTCTGGTTCACCAGAAGTGGCTTATTCATGCTGGCCACATGACCCGGAAGCTGTCTGCAGACAAACGCCGGCTCCCTCGGCCAATAAGGCAAGATGAGCGCCGCAACCCCAGAGTCGGTCACGACTGGACCTAATGGTCAGGGGTCCCTTTACCTTTACCTTTACTTTCCTAGACTTATTTAACATTGCTGGGGATTTAACTTTAGTCTTTTCAGCATGCAGCTCAAATTCTATACCATGAACTATGTTACTTTTCAGTTAAGGTAACAGGACAGTGTCACTGGATCCATTCTTGATACTCACACATTCAGAGCAACATCAACAAAGGGCCTCCTAGTCATGGTCAATTCAGTTTATGTAGATAGGAACTCTATATCAAGGAGTCACAACTTGTTCTATGTGTAGTTTTAGAGGTGGAGTCAGAGCCACAATCCCACCCTTCTGCTACCTTTGTTACACATCTGGTGAACAAATCAACTGAGATGAATATGACTGAAAATATAAATAGAAAGCCATACAACTGCAGCAGAACCAGTGCCTCATCTCTTTGACTTTTGGTTAGGGCCTTCTCAGTGGCTGCTCCTAGACTTTAGAATGCCCTAGAGAAGCTAGACTGGCTCCCTCCTTGTTGTCCCTCTGCCAGCAGGGGAAGGCCTTATTCCAACAGGCTTCAGGGAACTTGCTGCTTTTGGTTTGTTGGGTGTTTGAAGGAAAGGACTTTTAATAGTGCTGTGCTGGATTTCCTATTTGTATTTCAATAGATTTGTTTTTATGATGTTTTAAGTCTATTTATCACTTTCTAGCTTTTGTGTTGTTTAATCTGTGTAAGCTGCCTCGATCCCCAGCCTAGAGAAAAGACAGCATATAAATATATTCTTCTTTTTTCTTTGGCAATCACTCGTAGCTGAATAAGATTGTCTTCCTAAACACAGTTTTAACAGTGAGTCCGTAAGTGACTGTGGAGCCAATTCTGGATCCACATGTCCTTCCACAGTGGGGACATAGGTTTCCGGGTGGGAGTTGATCATGGTGAGGGTTTGTCAAACGTGCCTTCCTCTACCCAACTCAATCAGTCTAAACCCTCCTCCTTCCTGCAGCTAGGAGCCCTTTGAAAAATGTTCCCCATTAGTGTTGAGGCTTGTAGCCACACCAGCAGAGGGGGTGTCATTAGATTTACCCTGAAGAGGGAAGGTATAAGTTTCCCTCCTTCTGCACAGGCTTCTCCAATAGGATGACTTTAATTAAGTAAGAAAAAAGTAAGCTGTATGCTACATATGCAGCAAACATCAAGTTTGGCCCTAAAGGCATATAACAACTGCCAATGAGTTATCATTACCAAGAACTAGTTCTTTTCTGTTTTCTCTCTTTCCAACTATAATTTGTGAGTACCTCTTCTAAAAGAAAAAGAAAAAAACCCAGAAAAATTTAGATTCCAGATGATTCTTTTAAAGGAAAGTCCTGGATTAAGAGCATGTTGTT